TTTAAAAAAATAAGACAACTTTTACGTTTTCCAAAAATATGACTTATTAAAACACTCCAGCAGTAAGCATCGGCATATTTCCATCGCCCCATCTTCCCCAGTGCAAGTCGTCCATCTTCTTCGCTCCCATCGAAGCTCATCGATCGAACCAGAGGCGAAGCATCCAGCGAACTCGGAATCCACAACATCTCCATCGCCTGCCCCTACAACACCGCCATCTCCACTAGGCCAGAGTCGTCGAGAGCTCGTTCGCAACAATGCTTTACATTCCAGAAGCTGGAAGAACAGATCTGGTCTACTTTCCATTCGATTCATTTTGATTTCCATTCGATCCGTTTTCGTCCTTCTTCGATTCGTTCTTCATCGTCTTCGTCCTCCCTATTCTTCTCCTTTTTCTTCGCGTTCAACGACTGTATGACTAGCTGGAGGCTAGGTTTTGGGATGTGATGAAGGCAGGGGATGAGATCTAGGAGGCTGGGAGGAGATCTGAGGATAGGAGGGGGGTGACTACAGGGGTTTGGGGCTGGGAAGCAGAGGAGGGGGTCTAGGCTGTCGAAGGGCGCTGGTTGTGGGTGCTGGGTAGGGAAAGGGAGGGATGGGACTGGGGATGGTGCAACGACTATGCAGGGCTAGGGCAACGTGTGGTTGGGTTGGAGTAGCGTGTGGTGGGGCTGGGGTGGTGCAGTGACTGTGGTGAGGGGGTGGTGCAGTAACGACAGTGCTCGGTGACTCTGGAAGTGGCTGAGAGGCGGCTGAGGGATGGGGGATGGGGAGTTGAGTCAGGGCTGGGGTGGCGATCGGGGTGGCGGTTGCGTTCGTTTGGCGTGTCACTATGGCTGAGTAACTGTGGCCGGTGGGTCAAAGGTCATTGTGGCCGATAGCAGGGTAGTCATGATGGCCAGAGTCACTGTGGCAGCGAAGTCGTTGTGGCGGCGGAGTCACTGTGGCGGCGGAGCCACTGTGGCGGCGGAGCCACTATGGCGGCGGAGCCACTGTGGCGGCAGTCACTGTGGCAGCAGTCTCTGTGGCCGGAGTCACTTTGGCCGGAGTCATTTTGGCTGGAGTAACTGAGATAGTGACTGACGGCGGTGTCGGCGGCGGCGGCGGCGGTGCCGGTGCCGGTGCCGGTGGCGGTGCCGGTGCCGGTGGCAGCGACAATGATGGTGCTGGGGTCGGCGGTCCAGAGGTGCCGGTGGTTACAAATGTATAAAAGGAATATTTCATAATTATATGATTAAATATAAGGAATAAATGACTTTTAGTCACATTTTTGGAAAAAAAAAAATAAAACAAGTCACTTTTTTTTTATCTTTTTCATTCATGTTAGTAATATTGGAATAAAAGGCCTTTTATTCTTTCCTCATTTTACATTTTTAGAATATGAATTGCATTATTATGTTCAAACTTCAAAGTTGATGCCAATAATTAAATTAATGGTGGCAACACATGTATATACGGGGTAAATTAGATGTGTAATATAATGAGGTCTAATGAATATGGTATTATGGTATAGTTCTTAATTTTTTTGCAAGAGTATAGTTCTTAATTTTAATATCATCCTTAACGTACTTGTTATAGTATTTGCTCATAATAATATCATCATTTTTTATTGAGATGAGATCATGAGACTTGAACCTATGATTCCTTCTATAAGAGTTTAGTAGTGATGTCATCTTACTACAAAGTATTTGACATGATGTAGTTTTTAATCATCTTTATAGTATATATGGAGTATATACTCTGTATTTGTATGTGTTAATGAGTAGTAATGCACTTCCTTAATTAGGGATGTACGTACGTATATATATTTATACTATATGGATTATATATGCAGTCAGTGGCGGACCCAGAAAGTTGGAGCCACGGATCCCTACCCTTTTATATCTCCAATCTCTAATTCATATAAAACTTATAAAAATCCTCATGTTGTTCAGGTATGTTATAAGCCAAATTAGCTTCACTTTCACCAATTACTTGATCCAATTCTTCATCAGTTAATGGCGAATCATTTGAATTAACACCTGAACTACTTCCGATAGTCTGAGTTTCTTTAAATTTGGGCACAACACCAAAATATCTTTTCATCCTAAATCGTATAAAATTGAAAATAACTTTTATAAATACATACATTTATTAATTTAATCTAACATTTAAAAAAAGATATGCAAAGCAGCAAAGAGAAAAACAATAAAAAAACCTGGGCGTGAGCGCCTGGAGTGGTGGGTGCGGCTGGTGGTCGACTGGAGGCAGAGCGTCGAACTTGTGAAGAGGCGTAGGTCTAAAAACGCATAGACAAAAAGATGTAGTTTTGGTCTATCTAATTAAAATAATTTTGAAAAAAAAAAAACAGATCCCAGGGGGAATCGAAACGTCGTTTTGTCTATGCGTTTTTAGACCTACCGCAGCATGAAACTTTAAACCTGCGCTTGCTCCCGTTCGCCTGCTCCGTTCCTTTGGTTCTTAGTTCGTTTTCAGTGTAAATATACATGTAAAAATTAATTTTATGTAATACACATATAATATATATAGGTAATTTCTTCGAGGTGCAAGGGGTCCCAGGACCCTTAGTGGGTCCGCCTCTGTATGCAGTGGTGGATGAGTGGATCCATACTTTTTTGGTGGGAGGCGGCATTGGAGTATTCAGTTTTTTATTTTTATTTTCAATACCGAAGTAATGAAGTATTACACCAGTATTCAGTTTTTGGTTTATGTGTATTTGTTTCAGTCCTATAATGTTTAGTTTTTGCACGATCAGAACCAGTGGCGGATCTAGGCATCGGAGCTCAGAGTATGCACAAAGTATATAGTAGAAATATGCATAGGATTCTCCCTCTGTCCCATATAATTTGACCAAAATTGGTTGACACATAAATAATAAAGTAAAATGTGTGTAATTGAGATTCGTGCAGTAGAAAGAAAATTATTTGAAACTACGAATTCTTTATTTGAAAGGGGAATGAACAAAGTTAACGAGATAACCAAAAAAGAAAAAATTGACAAAGTTATAACGGACATTACCACGTAGGGAGTACATGATATGTACAATAAAATTATAAATCAAATTTCATTATGAATATCGATAAGAGAAAAATAAACACACCATCTGAAAAAGAAAATAAAAAATGGACAATAAATTGTAATAATATATTACATACTCAAATATGTAATGTATTGATATTTTTGTATAATAAAACTACTTATCAATATGTATAAATAAAAATAAAAACATGGGGACGGATTTGCTAAAAAGTACTGTTGTTTCATGTTTATTTGTATGCTTGAGGTTGAAGAGAAATATTTACAAAAAAAATTAGCTTAAGAAGCAGCCAAGCACGGATGAGATGGGTGAGTGAACTTTAAGGCCAGTGGAGGCAAAAAAGAATCGACAGATGTACACGTGAAAGGATCAAACTTGTTACATGAAGCATCCAACAATACTTAAACCCCATAAGTTCACCACTAAGGCTAATGATAATTTTTAAGGGTGTAACCTGTGCTAAAAATAATATAATTTTTAGGGCCAAATTAGGCTTTATAAATCTCGCATGGTAAAAAAAAAAATCTCGCATGGTTATCGAAACGATTTACTCAGTATAGAGTGATCTTTTTTATGTCTGATCATAGGCAGAGGCGGAACCAGGGCACTGCGTCGAATTGGACTGGCACAAATAATATTTTTGAAAAAAAATTACACGAAATTTTTTACTCTAAAAATATAGTCATTTTTAAAATTTGAGCTGAACCTGGGTCAGGTTTGGCCCCTCCCTAACTACGCCCCTGATCATCGGGTGAAGATACCTTTGAGTAACGTTGAGTCGTCTAAGGGGAAAGTTGGTATTGAATTTGAGTCGTATGAACTTTCTTAATATTTTGAGAGTTTTTGCCAGTTTTAGTCTTTCGACTATTATGTGATTAACACTTTTGGTACTCGACTTTGAGTTTTCCACTTTTAGTCCTTCGACTATTGTGCGACAGACACTTTTGATATCCGTCTTTGAAAATTTCCACATTTAGTCCTTCAACTTCCTGAAGGTGGACGCTAGAACATTGGTCGACTTCTCCGTACGTGATCGACTACCCTTTCTTACTCAGCATTTTATTAACCAACTCAGCCATATTAATGTGTTAGTTAATCAAACGGATGCATTTAGTTAACACTAAAAAACGAGTTCATGTACTTACAAATGTCGTCAATTGCATTATAATGTCCCTATAATGTTCTCTTTATTCCGCGTCATAAAAATACAAAAACCCTTCCATATGTATAGATAAATAAGCACTCGTAGCAATAAGATAGATTGTCTTTGCTCTGTTTCTGGATCGTGTCACATAAGTATAGAGTGAATAATACATTGCTTTTAAAATTTAGGATAATAACCTATAGTATGCATCAAATTTTGCTAATTTTATGTTTAGAAAGTGTTGATTTTCCAATAGAATTCAAAACTTTTTACTCGTAATGAGTTACGGGGGTCATAATGTATCAAAATGAAGATATTTCGAAGCTCTATACTCTCAAATTTTCAGCACAGTCGGCTGACCACCCTGACACCCCTGGGCTCCGCCCTGTGTATACATATAACATATATGGCTTTCCTTCCATATATATACATATAACATATACGTATATGGCTTTCCTTGCAAAAAAAACATATGGCTTTTTCTTACTGGATCCTTGAAAACAATCATAACATTATACTTCCTCCGTTCACTTTTAATTGCAACCGTCAACATTTCACGTATGCCAACGCACAAGTTTGACCATTAATATCTTTCATTCCTTTTTAGTAAAAAATTTAAAAATTTCAGATTTTGAAAATTTAGAATGAGAAGAAATTTAACAATATTTTTTAAGAATTTAATTTATAATACATTAATAAATAAAACATAGTCAAAGTAGAATATGTGAGTAGTGCAAAAAGTTCAATGTTGCAATTAAAAGAGAACGGAGGTAGTATTAGCTTGCCCAAATTCTGTCGACGTTTTTTCTTTGGTTATCGGTTTATTTGGGACTTTGGGATGTGTGGTTTTTGGGGTTTGAATGAATATGACCATATTTGGTTATTTTTATTCTGATCTTGAAAACCTCTGCAAACTGGATCTTGATGCAGGGTTTTGGTCGTATGATTCCCTTAGAAAGTTTGGGATTTCATCTTCTACCTTTTCACTACAGAGAGGGAATTTGTCTATTAGTAGGAACAACTGTTTTTGAGAATCCATTAATGGCGGAGGATGATGATAGATCAAGAACTGATCTTAATGAAAAATATGTTAATAACGAGGAGGCTTCCACCAGTTATTATTGTAAGGATTGTTTTACTAATAGTAGTACCGTCGTCCAAGAAGATGATGGTCATAAAGACTGGCTTCAGTTGACCGTCGGCGACGGCGGCGGAAATAACTCAGCCACCGTGAGCCACGACGGTCGGGATCATGAGGAGCATGGTAGGACGACTCGCCTAGGACCCGTGGAGCTGGATCTACTGCCGTCAGGAAGATCAAATGGAAGTTATGCTAGTAGTGCGGCGGAGCTCCGGCGTCCGCTGCCTATTCCGCCGCCAGCCGCCGTGGGGTATATTAGTTCCACGTTATCTAATTATAATAACTTCTTGCATCATCCGCCGTGGGCTTTTCGGCCCGTTATGGCTACTCCGCCGCAGGGGCTTTCCGTAGCGGGGTCGTCATCCTCTTCGCCGTTTTTATACGCGCCGCCGCTGACGTGTTCCAATTCTCGGCCGGCTGCATTACCGCTACTCTATGCCGGCGCCGGAGTGGTTTCCCCGGGCTTTGATTGTAGAGTGATTGATCCTCCACTTCGTCAACATTCTGGTATCTGGTTTTCGCTACAAGCATCTCAAAATCAGTAAGTTACGGAGTACTTCGTATTATGTTTGACCCAAATGAATTTTCACTTAGATATACTTCGTTCGAGAGCTCTTCTCATCAGGCCGGCCTGACGGGCTGCCCCGTCCGGCCGAGCCCGTTTGGGCACCTTCTCAGTGGAATTTTTTGATGAAATTTTTTGAGCATGTTCCTCATCAAGTCTAGTTTGTCCATACCAAATTTCAGCTCAAAATTCGATCGGGAAGGTCGTCAAATGATTTTTGCAAGTTAACTGGTCCGGAAAATACATATTCCGGACCAGTTAACTTGCAAAAATCATTTGACGACCTTCCCGATCGAATTTTGAGCTGAAATTTGGTATGGACAAACTAGACTTGATGAGGAACATTCTTAAAAAATTTCATCAAAAAATTCCACTGGAAAGGTGCCCAAACGGGCTCGGCCGGACGGGGCAGCCCGTCAGGCCGGCCTGATGAGATGATTTCTCTACTTCGTTCTACGTATATTTGTTTCCACAACATAGTGTTGTGGTAACTTAAATTCAAAACTTGAACATGAATTACTATGTTTTCATTACTACTCTAGTAATGAGTCATATTTTTGCAAATCATCTTTATTTTGGTCATATTTATATAATTATTTCAACGGGAATTGAGTTTTCAAATATGATTAATGGATTATTTCAAAATTGTATACAAATCTAGTGATCTACTACTCAGTTTTCAACCATTTTACCTTTTTTTTTTTTGAAAATTTCAACCATTTTAACTTAAAACTCTATATACTTCGTATTTATTAAAAAAGTTACTCATACGAGTATACACTATATAGTTATCATAAAGAATTAATGATGTACTCTTTTCTTATATAGTAAACAAATTCTTATCAATTTCCTCATTTATTCTTAAGTAATAAGTTTGTACAATTTGTCAAGATTGTTAAACAATGTACTTCACACTAAAGATTATCCTCAACAAAATTGGTAGTTTAACAAATCAAAAGAAAAAAGGCAGTATATCCTTAAAGTGTGTGCTATTCAAACTATAAAAAAAAATTAGGAACTAACAGATCAGAAAACATCCTTACTCGTGAACATAATTATAATTACCCCATACTAGTTATATTTGGAGGAACCAATTATGCTTTAATTGTAGATACTTTCGAGAATTAATAATCTCTTAAAAAGGAATACTCCCCGTTTCCATTCAAAATTTTACCCAAATTTGAATAACGCATGAAATGTTATTGCAAACCTTACCTGATCGAGATATATGCATTCTAAAGATAAAAGTAAGAATCATCAATTAGTTATCTTTAAAAAAAAAATTAAGAGGGTGCATTGGAGTGATGTGACATAAAAGAGAGATAAAGATAGAATAAATATTTGAATGAAGTGTAGGGAAAAATGAAAAAGGGGAGAAAGATAGAGATAAAAATGGACCAAGGTCTATGACAAGGTCCATATATATGGACCTTACACGGGATTCGAGGAGAAAAAGTTGATGAAAAGTGTGTTAAAACTTAAAAGTGATATAAAAGATGAAAATAAAAATAAATTAGGAAATACATGTGTCCTAAATATGAAAATTGTGAGACAAAAAATGAGACTCATGTGTAAGGTTGTGTAAGAGACCACACCCTTGGACCAAATTAGTTCTTAAAGACTCGATACTTGGGAGGTTTACCAAATTAGTCCTTGTAAATTAAACATATTCCACAAACGGAACATCAAGTTTTTTTGTTCCATGTATATGAATATTATAATATTCAATATTTATGTTTCTTTTTTCCTTCTAGTTTTTGACGTATTAATTGCCACTCCATTGATAATTATTTTTTCTTGATTGGGAACCAATAATGCAGAAGAAAAGAACCTTATTTGCGACAGATATCCAAGAAATACATAAGAATCAAGTCAGTATTTGTTTCTTCATTCAATTCCCATGTACATTACTCCGTATAATTTAGCCATGCATCTAAAAAACGTAGTATTAAATATTAAATTTCATAATTATTAATGTAAGGATATATGCTTTCATTTTGGTGATTAATAATTATGGTATATACAATTAGAGATGGAAGAATTACAATCCTATTAGTGCTAAAGTACCTGGTCAATAAGCTACGTCTAGAAAACGAATCCGAGGTACGTACCTTCAATTCTCATTTCATTTATTGTGTATATAATAATTATCATTCAATTCTCTGCATGAATGAATTCATATTCCAATAATGCTTTCTTTCAAACTATAAATATTTTCATTTTCCTTGTTAATTAAATAGATTCGTTTGCATTATGATACCATGCATCCGGTTTAATTTATGATATTTTGTGCGAAATAAGTACGTAGTAATTATTAGCACAGATAGAGTAAGAAAAATGTCCCGTGTTCATGAAATTATGACGGAGTAGTACTTTAACTGTATTGGAAAAAATCGTTAGATAATTCAATTCAGCATAGATATCAGTTTGTATAGCAATTTTTAACACTTAATTTGTTAGAAAATTTTGACTTTATCTCATTAGGTCTTTCTGTTACGTTTAAGTGTGATCTGGTATGGTAAGTGTCTGTTTTATGTGTGTATTTAGCAATAATTGCGAAAGTATGGTTTGATATTATCCGATCCGACCAATTTGAGTATGATGATTTGATCTAATGTGGCTGATTTGGCACGGATACTAATCCAATATTGCCGATCAGCCGATGTTTGAATTTTGAAAAGTAGTTTTTTGTAAATTTCATAACATGATCCCGACGTATGCTAGTAATGCCACATTTTTTTAACGACTCCATTCAGTCGAGGTAGGTTATCAATTTATTTTTTGTAAAGCAACGTAACCATAATATAGCAAAAAGTACGGTCAAAGAAAAAAATAGACAAAATTTCTACAACAAACATGCAATTAACATGAAATTAACAAGTCTACGATATCAAATTAAGGGTTAAACAAAACATTGTTTAGATATGCGGGCGTTGGTTACTTGGTTGGTATGTGAGAAACATGAAAGGAACAAGAGAACTGACTAATGGTTAGTTGTATCTGGTAAAATTTAAGAAATCAATTTGATAAGATGGTGATACGATGACGACTTCTTTGATTAATTAGGTGGGAATCGAAGTATGTATATATAACTAATACACGTATTTTGAATTCAGCCCATCGATCATCTCACTCGTTAAGTATTCTTCATACATCCCTATTGGCGTATAGTATTGGAGGGACACAAGATTTATGTGTATCAAAATGGTAAGGTTAACTTTATCAAAAATTCAAATTTGAATGCCTTCTTTAAATTGGAGTCCTTTGTCACAAACATAATTAAAGATCACGTACTATAGTCGTATGACCGATTAAAAATCATTTTTTCATCTCAACTCTTACTTAGTTTTACTTTAGTCGTATATGCATATTTGTTAACTTTTCTAAATAAAAAGTCCCGACATTGTTTTGCTTCAAATAACATGAGAATGTGAGATATATATGTATAAACATCAGAGATATATATGTATAAATAGTGTGTACATTCATCTGAATTGTGAAATACTCCCTCCGGTTTTTAATAAACTTTACACTTTCCTTTTCGGGACGGTCTAAAATAAACTTCACACTTCCTTATTTCTTTTTTTGGCAAAGAAATTTACATCAAAACAGTGTCAAACAGTGTCAAACAGTGTCTCAACAGTGCCAAACAGTGTCTCTACAGTGCCAAACAGTGTCAAACAGTATCTCAACAGTGTACTCTACAGTAAAGTCAAATTTCTTTCCTTATTTTGTGTGAAGTCAAAGTGTGAAGATTAAATAAATCAGAGCTAGTATCAAATCCGACATCTTCACATTTAACAAAGTGATTTGGCACGCCAAAAATAGTATGGTAGGTCATGCATATATAGTAATGAAATGATTTTTTTTCACCTCGAAACGTTTACCGAACCACGTCCCGTTCTACTCCCGCAACTTGAAACAAAGTCAATTTTGTCAATGTAGTCCTATAGATTAAATAGTTGAGTGACCGAGTCCAAAATAAATTTTTCTCAAAATAGTTACATTTTCTGTCAAAGATTAAGTTTGAATAAATGAAATTCACGGCATTATTTTAAGATTTCTACCTTGTAAGTGCAAATCACCGATGTTTTTCGTAAATTAAAGGACTTTTTTCATACTCGTATCATATTTTGAGTGTCAGGTCACCTAATAATGTACTACGTATATAAGAGGACGTGTTGTGATGATAATACTTCCTCCGGTCTATAATTCTTGCAACATTGTGATTTTTACACTATTCACAGATCTTACTTTGACCATGATTTTCTACTAATATACATAATCAAATTATTACGTATAAAATGTTATTAAACTCTTATCAATGTGAATGTCCAAAATATCAACTTTTTATAATGTTTACTAATACATAATTAAATATAATTACAGTCAAAATTGTGCATTGACAACTGTGAAAGTCAAAGTGTTGCAAGAATTATAGAATGGAGGATAGTATATTACTCCGTATTCAGGATTCAGGAACCACCTACCTAAATTATGAGACTAAATTAAAATTGTTAAACTTTAATAACAAATTCAAATGATACAAATTTTGCGTGACTAAAATGGGAGAAAGTTTAATGATAACTTAAATCTTGTCTCATTTTAATCCGTTAAAATTTTAAAGTAGTCCCATCAATTTTTTTATCGTCCCATCAGTATATAGTACGTTTGTAATGTTTTTGGATCGATCCCATAAAAATTTTCTCACTTACGGAGTATATTTTTGGAATGTTTCAAAAACATGATTCTTACGGAGTAATTCTTTAAGAAACGTTTTTAATTTGTTCTCACTTACATTTTTCTTAGTTAATCATAAAACTCCATAATACATTTTCTTTTTATTCCCACTCTTAAACTCTTATTTAAGTCAAATGGTAGAGAATATTAGACTCCGTATTGAATTATTTTCCCTTTGCTGTATTCCTTTACCACACTTGGCCGATTCTAGAAGAGTGCTCATATTAGTAGAGAAATGATTTGCCAATAGCCGTCTGCCAACATGCACGACATGCGTAAAAAGCTTAGGGAATTCTTTTATCATTACCAATACTATATAGTCTATGGAGCAATGATTATATTACATGCAAATGGAGCCATCAAAATAGTAACACGAGAGTGCATGAATTCCCTGAATTTTATGACAGAAAAACAAAACAAAACCATGTTGAGCGCATTGACCTTTAAATTGGAAGGGTAATTATGAGTAGGTCACGTAGCATCAAAATTTTCATCCTAGGGCCATTAATCATACACGTGGACAGGGTCGATCTCAATCACAGATTATGTCCTAATTAAAAACGCATCGTGCATGTCACTAGTCTCCACTAGATTGAGCACATATTCCATTTTAAATAGCAATAAGTTTTAGGAAGACATTTCACCGTACCATGGTATAATAAGTTTATTGAATGGTGGAAAGCTAACAAATTTTCACCATCTAACAAATAAATATATTTATTGGGCTCAATTGTATTTAGTAAGATTTGTAGTTTTAGCTAGATTGGTAACTTTTGATTGTATCCCTTATCGATCCCGTAACTTATTCAATTAATAAACTTGTCCATTAATTCATTAGGAGGACTTTATCATCAGATATCTGGTAAAAAGATATCCGTTAAAATAAGTGCGTGTCACATATCGTTTTTGAAAAATTAATACTTCCTCCATACTTTTTTAGTTGCAACGTCAACATTTCACACATGTCAATGCACATCTTTGACCGTAAATATATCTTATTCTCTTTTAGTAAAAAAAAATTAAAAATCAGATTTTGAAAATTTGTAATGAAATGAATTGAACAATATCTTTTTAAAAAAATTATTTTTATAAAATAATAGTGTAAAATGTAGTCAAAGTAGAGCATGTGAATAGTGTAAAATTCAACATGTTGCGATAAAAAACGGAGGATAGTACATGGTCCACAACATTTCACTTTATTATACTCAAATTTCAACCACAACTTTTTTACTTTTTCAATTACATTATTAATAATTGTGTCAAAGCAAAAGAAGATACATAATGGGAGGGATGTAGTATAAAAGAACATATCAGAAAGTGTACTTTCCTACATAAAACTTTTTGTCATGGATAAATTTATTAGTTGCAGGACTAGATTTGCAAATGAGTAAATTATAGGACAAAAAATGAGCACATTTAAAAATTACAAGATCAAATCTAGAGAACTCGGAGAAGAAGAATGGTTTAGCCAACAAAAATGAAATGATCCGAATGATTACATCATTGGAGGAGTAAATTTAAGAGTTGATAATAATAGAGTTTATTTCTTAAATAGGACTAGAACATTGGTAATGTTTAAAACTAGAATCATTATTGTTTCATTACTAAATATGAATCACCAATATAATACAATAATATTTTTTATTTAGATATAAGAGAGTTTTACAATTTTGTATAAATGTCTTGAATTGTTGTTGTTGTTGTTATTATTATTATTATGCATGTTTGTTCAAACAAATAAGGATTTTACAAATTTTAATTTCTCGCCGTTAGAGCATCTTCAATGGGAGGGTGCATTGTAGCTAATGTGACATAGAATAGAGATAGAGATAGAATAAATATTTGGATGAAGTGGTGTGTAGGAAAAAATGAAAAAGAGGAGAGAGATAGAGGTAAAAATGGATCAAGCTAAGATCTATGACAAGGTCCATATATGGACCTTACACGGGATTCGAGGAGAAAATGTTGATGAATAGCGAGTTAAAAGTGATATAAAAAATGAAAATGAAAATAAATTAGAAAAAATGTGGATCCTACACATAAAAATTGTGAGATAAAAAATGAGACTCATGGGTAAGGGTGTGTAAGAGACCACATCCTTGCATTGGAGTTGCTCTTGTGCCTTTAAACTTGCATAACCAATTTAGTAAACAGTGAAAGTAGTACTCCGTATAAGGTAAATAAAGTGGTGAGGCATGCGTGTGAAAGGTTTTGAAGAATGTTAACTTTTGCATGGCATGCTTTTTGATTGAACTCAACCTTCACGTCAGACATTAGATAATGTGTTAGGCCCTTTTTCCATTTGGTTTTCATATGTATGAAAAGATCCGGCGCGCCTTCTCCAAGTCCAATCATGCAAGTGT